TATGGAAGAATATAAACGTAAAATAGAAGAAGTTAAGTAAAAGACCTTGTAGTCCTGAATTTCAATTTGAATTAAGTTCCTCATTAAAAATAAAATTATATTCTAGCTCTGTCAACTGAAGAAGCCTAGACATAATGACCAACTAGTGGCAGTGAATAGCTCTATTCCTAGATTGTATCTTGAAGTTCCATTTCCCTAAAAGAAATGAGGGCTTCTTGGAGAAATGTCTGATTCCAGATTTAGGACAGGAAATGTATAGATAAGCCTGGGCTAGCCTGTCCTACCAGATAGCAAGCAACCTATCAAAGACTAGGAGATGTCAAAAAGACTCAAGAGAAAACTTGAAGATGTTCTCACTTGACCAAAGATGGGACAGTTAAAAGAGATAATAATTGTGACTGATTAAAATCCAATAAATATATTTAAATCTATGAGTTCCTACTGACATTTAAAAGAAAAAACCCTATTTAGTTGCCTTCAGAAAATCACAGGGAATGAATTTATAATCTTGAGTACTAGTAAATAAAGTGAAAGAAGCACACATATGCCCAACCTTTCTTGTATGAACTGTATCACATATGAAATGAGTACAAAACAGTCGATAAGAAGATTGTTATTTGTTTTTTTTTAAGATTTATTTATTTATTTTAGAGAGAGAGGGCATGAGGGGAGGGGTGCAGAGGGAGAGAGAGAATCCTGAATCAGACTCCCCACTGAGCATGGAGCCCAATGCAGGGCTCAGTCTCAGGACCCTGGGATCATGACCTGAGCCAGTCAAGAGCCAGCCTCTCAACCAGTTGAGCCACCCAGGCACCCCGAGGATTGTTTCCTTTTAAAAATGTCCCAATAAAAGAAAATAAATGATTGAATATAACCATTTTGCAACACTCAGTAAATAAATGGACTTAGGCATTAATAATTAGCAGCTGCTAACATATCACCTTCTGTAGTTTTGCCAAAGGAACCAAATGTGGCCTGATCAAACTTCTGGATCCAGCTGCCAATTTGTGGAACGTACAGAGGACAGACCAGTGTGTTGAACTACACTATGAGTGTCTAGTCAGTCAAATCCATGTTGTGGGGGAAATTGCAGGTCAGATGCCCCAGGTTCTAAAAGATGAATTGTGGGGAGACAAGAGGAAAGGGGAAATGGAGAAAAAAACCTGTAGATAAAAAGAGACTTTAAAAAAATTATAATGAACAAAAGTAAGGGATGCACACTTGGGTGGGAAAAACTATAAAGAAACTCAAGGAGGCAATTACTGTAAAAATCAAGATAATGGTTATCCTGTGGGGAAGAAGGCATTGAGTTTAGAAAGGGACACATAGGTGGGCTTCCAGTGTGGTGGGCAAAGTTATTTTTCTTGGCCTGGGTGATGGGCTTTCCTTATAATAACACATTAAACTACACATTTGTTTTGTGTGGCTTTCTGAATCGATGTTTTTATTTTATAATTAAAAAATTATGCAAAGACTTCTGCTTCCAAGTAGAATGTAGTAAGTAGTGCCAGCTATCACTCCCACTGCAACAACAGGAAAAAATGAGAGTACAAATATATATATTTTTTAAAACATCAGAGACATGTGGAAGTAACAAGGACTAGATGAACTAAAATTCCATTGAAGAAAGAGCCCATTTATGTGAACTGAGATCATCGGCTGTTTTCTTCCCTGGGGATATTTGCCAAGTCTGAAGGGTTGAATATTGGACTTGACTTAGGCAAAGGGATTCTCCTGGAGGAGAGTAAATCAGTAGAACTTTTAACAGTCATGCAGGTTGGCATGACAGATAGGAATCTAGAACAATTCCAAACATACTGCTGTTTTTCTCCATGAGATGCTTGCTGAGTGCTGGGGTAGCTCAGGAAACTAGGGAACTAGAGTGAGTGAAATCTCATGCAACCTGACAGTGCTTAGAAGATAAAGTCCTGCTGTGAGGAGGGGCCTGCAACAAATACAGGATAGCTCTCATCCTTGGGACATTTGAAAGTTGAGGTGGACTGAATCTAACGAAAACTCAATTCCTGATTGGACTGGGGTGATAATATTTCACCCTCCCTGCCTAATACAGGAAAGAGTGAATCCACTGCTGGTGGCCAGGAGGGGTGGGTGCAAGGGCAGTGCAGGAATGAGGGGATAATAACTTCAGTTTCTAGGATTCCATTCCTTTATAATAATGTCCAGCTAAAATAAAAAATTATGAAACATCTGAAGAAACAAAAATATGGCCAGTAGCTGAGAGAAGAAAATAGATAATAGAAGCATACTTATCCACATTTAGGGGTGCCTGGGTGGCTCATTCAGTAAAGTGTTGGACTCTTGATTTCAGCCCAGGTCATGATCTCAGGGTGGTGAGATCAAGTCCCGTGTAGGGCTCCATGCTCAGAAAGGAGTTGGCTTGAGATTTTCCCCCTTTCCCTCTCCCTCTGCCCCTCCACCCACTTGCATAAGCTCACTCCCTCAAATAAATAAATCTTTTAAAAAAATAAAGTAAAAAATAAATGATCCACATTTAGAGTTAACAGAAAAAAACTTTAAAATAAGTGTAATGAATACATTAGAGGAAAAGATTAAAAATGGATAAAAGGTTGGATAATTTTAATATAGAATTGGAATCTAAAAATAAGATGTGCATTTTACAACTGAAAAATATAATATCTAAAATTAAGAACATTGGAATGAGATTAACTAGACACAATAAAAGTAGACCAGACACAACAAAAGACCGAGTTAATGAACTCAAAGACAGAGTAATAGAAACTATCCAAACAGAGGAAGAACAAAGAAAACAGAATGGAAAGAACAGACTGTAAGAGACTCATGGGACACAAACAGTCCAACATACATGTAATTGGAGTCCCAGAAGGAAAGGAGAGTGAGATAAGAGCAGAAGCAGTATTTGCAGATAGAATTTTTGGCTGAGAATTTTCCAAAAGGGATGAAAGATAAACTTTATTCAGAGTGCATGAACGGGGGCACCTGGGTGGCTCAGTCAGTTAAGCATCTGCCTTTGGCTCAGGTCATGATCCCCGGGTCCTGGGTTCGAGCCCCACATTGGGCTCCCTGCTCAGCAGAGAGTCTGCTTCTCCCTCTCCTTCTGCCCCTCCCCTTCCTCTTGCTCGTGCGCTCTCTCTCTCTCTCTCTCAAATAAATAAACCTTAAAAAAAAAAAAGTGCATGAACCTCAGGAAACTATCACTGGACTAACCACAACCTTTCTCCTGGGCCTCCATTCTCCAGTATTTATATTTCTGCTGCTTTCATCTGTGTTAGTTACTACATTCTCAGAATCAGTTTGGAGGTTTTTCCTTAAGAACATGCTCCATCTCCCTCACTTGCTTCTTAAGAGCAAGGTCTGTTTTTAGTATCATTTATTTTATATTTTCTGCAATATTGATAGAGTTTACTAACAGTTCTGAATAGACTAACAGAACTTCCCACCCACGCAATAAAATGCCAGCACTATTCCAAGTGATTTTTGTCATATTTCTGAACACTTGTAATTTATCAATCAGGACTCAGTAAAGAAAACAGAAGCCATACCAGTTACTTTAGTAGAGAGAATTTAATATTCAAAAATTGGCTAGCAGATATTGAAGGGCTGAAAAAAACGAAAAGAGGACACTGAAATAACTGTTCCCGATCTGGGAACACGAAGGAGAGAGATTAGAGTTTTGGGAGCCTAGAAGCCTAGAGGAGAGATGCCACAGAGCTGGAACCATCAGCACTGAAGGAGTGGCTGCCCTGAACAGCTGTGACACACCTCCGGGAAGGCTTCTCTTCCCGGCTGATTTTGGAAGATTGTATTTTCCAAAGGTAATAACAGTACCTGTCATTTCACATGCTCTGTATCATTTGCCTTTGACACTCTTCTTATTGAAAGGTGGGATTTACGTTTTCTCCCCTTGACTCTGGCTGCCTTACAAGAATGGCCGAAGTGGCACTATGTGTGTGACTTTAGAGGCTAGGTCATAGAAGATGCATCTTTTACTTGGATCTCTTGGGGCCCCTTGGAAGCCTTGAGCTGTCTGAGGTCATGCTGCGAGGTCTACATGGAGAGACCCTGAGGCTACTTGGAGAGATGCCCAGCCAGCCACCCGCTGCTTTAGCACTCCAGCCCCAGCCACAGTTTGATAGCAACCACATGAGACACTGAGCCAGAACTTCCATGTGAGGCCCTCCCCAAATTCCTGACCCATGGAAACAGGAAAGTTAGTAAAATTATCTTAAGTCACTGAGTTTTGGGGTGATCTATACAGCTGTAGATAATTGGAACACTAGTACTCTTACCTCAGGAGCTCCGAGGAGGTGCCTCACAGAGCCATGACTAAGACCTCCAAGAAGCACAACAAGGCTAGTTTTGTGCCAGGAAAAGGCTAGAAACTGAAATTGGCAGGTTTAGTCAGAGTGAAAGGGCCATTGCTGAGACAACACTAACAGGATTGGCAAGAAAACAGAAAGGAGTCTGTCCCTTCTCCTCCCCTAGACTTCCAGCAGCTAGTCCTTCCTCTTGGCAGAATCTGACAGAGAGCCAGCTTGGCAAAGGAGAAATGTTTTCAGAGTTCCAGCCCCAGCATCACAAGTCAGAGTATAGAAAACAACTATGGGGCGCCTGGGTGGCTCAGTCGTTAAGCGTCTGCCTTCGGCTCAGGTCGTGATCCTGGGGTCCTGGGATCGAGCTCCACATTCGGCTCCCTGCTCAGCGGGAGCCTGCTTCTCCTTCTCCCACTCCCCCTGCTTGTGTTCCCTCTCTCGCTGTGTGTCTCTCTCTGTCAAATACATAAATAAAATCTGTAAAAAAAAAAAAAAGCTTAATAACTGACACGGGCACAAATTCTTTTTTTCCTAGTAACTAAGTAAAATATGTTCGATTCTCACTGTGCATTTTGACCAGAGCAAGTGTATGTATCCAACATGTCTTTAGCATGATTTCATACCTTATGAAAAGGGCCTCACGTCATAAAAACAGGCATGCAGTGTTTGGTTTCTCCCTTACTGCAGGTATGATCCAAAGGAAAACAAATGGACTCGAGTGGCTTCTATGAGCACCAGAAGACTAGGCGTGGCCGTGGCTGTGTTAGGAGGGTTCTTATACGCTGTGGGTGGCTCTGATGGGACATCTCCACTCAACACAGGTTAGTCCCTTCCGAGGTCAGTCCAGTTCCCCCAAAGCAGCACATTCCTCAAGAGAGTCCCCCTACAGAAAAGTATAAAAAGTCATGTTATCCTATAATTTTAAGTTATAAATTGTAAATTTAAAATAATTTCTATATTTATGTAAATGATATAATTATTTATAATCTAAATAATTGAAAATTATTTTTCCCTTAGAGTACAACTCCCAACTCTTCCTCAGCTCCTTCTGCAGCCATATTCTTCTAGCATATTCCCAAAATACTTCTTTCTCCCTCCTCTTTATAAGCTTCTAGGAATTTATAATGAATAAAAGAACTATTTTCCTAATATAATTATTTCCCTGCCTCACCCCCAACCATCTCTCCTTAAAAAACCAAAACCAAAAAAAGGACAAAACAAAACCTATATTGTAATCTAAGAATAAATAAAAAGTTATAGCTATAAGCTGGTTTATGTATTAGTCCTTTCTGTTGAGAGATAATGGGTATTTTTGCCTAAGGATATCGTCAGTGTGGCACTCGCATCAGATTCGTAGTCGCATATCTTGTCTTCTGCTTAGAATGCAGTAGGAATACAGGCAAAGGGAATACAAGAGTACAGAAGTTGTCTGATTATGACAATCAGTTACTAGTATGGAATGGTGCCTCCAGATCCTTTAGTCAATCCCCTCATTTAAAGATAAGGTGAGGCCACAAGTCATACAGTTAGAACTAGAACTAAGGTCCCTTGACTCCAACACGTGCCTTTTCCACCATACCGAACACAGACGAAACCAGTAGTCCCCGAGGAGATTATAGTGGTTTTGTCTAAAGGTATACAAGTCCTTCTCAGAGCAAAAATCAGATTGTGTATTGAAAATACGTGTTATCACAAAGTTTTAGTGGCTATGAGGAAAACTAGAGGTGAGAGGAAATGGTTAAATGGTCACTTACTGGTTTTTTCCCCTGCAGTGGAGCGCTACAACCCTCAGGAAAACAGATGGCACACGATAGCTCCTATGGGGACCCGGAGGAAACACCTCGGCTGTGCAGTGTATCAGGACATGATCTATGCCGTAGGAGGGAGAGATGACACTACAGAGCTTAGCAGCGCGGAGAGATACAACCCCAGAACTAACCAGTGGTCTCCGGTGGTGGCTATGACGTCCCGCCGTAGTGGAGTAAGTGCCCAGCTACTGAAAACTTTGGGAAAAAGCACCAAGACAGGGCTGTGCAGGAGAGCTCTGATCTGTCATAGTAAGGAGGTGCACTATTTCAGCAAAACAACCCCTGCTATTTTGTACTGGAAAAAAAAATTAATTTCTCGCAATTGCTGTTATCTCAAGTAGTTAAATATCTTATAGTCAGTCATAGTCTTAATAATAGAATTATTTTTTGTGATTTATCTTTCGATTGTTTTCCTGAAAGACATTACCTTATCTTATCCACTACCTTATGTAACTTCACCCATATTCATCCCTCTCGATTAGAGCTAAATATTCCTAGCAAATGTTCCTAGGTAATATTCTAAGTAGTTGGCACACCAATACAAATGTTTAGGCAGAAACTCATCTGGCCCCACCACCAGTCTCCACAAACTGGTTGGAGTCTGTCCCATCTGTAGTCTAGACCTGGTCAGGCTGACCTATGTCATGTTCTAGACCATGAATGACATGTGACTACAAGAGACTTCCAGGGTGGAGTTTAGCATTCATCCATCCCAGGGTGTTTGGTTCAGAGTGAAATGTAACCCATAAACCACTGATTGTGTCAGGAGTGCATTGAGGTAGGACAACAGGTGGGAGAACACAGCAATAGCTAAGACTCCATTATCTGAGGAGAAAAGGGAGTAAATTCTAGTTTGCACAAATCAGGGAATATCATTGATAGGCATGAGCAAGTCAAGACATTCCCACATCTGTGGCTCTTTATTACTGGTGATTAACAACTTCTAGGTCACATTCCTGTTTTCACTGCTACATTTTGATTATTTAGCAAATATTTATTAAGTGCTTACTCTGTGCTAGGAAAGCAAAAGTGAGTACAACTCCAGGAGGAGCTCCCAAGTTAGTGAAGGAAATGGAAGTGTTTACAGCTAACCATAAAAAAAAAAATCTTACAGCCACAGCATGTGCATTTTAAGAGAACATGGGAGAATATGCTTAATGTGTTTGGGGACAGTGAAGAGACTCACCAGAGAAAGTCGCATGTAAGCTGGGCCTTGAAAGAAAAACAAGATTTTCTAGAAGAGGGAAAGAAAACACCAGCCAGGGAACAACATGTGCAAAGTACAGAGGCGTGAAAAACATGGTCTTTTCTGGAACTAGCAGTTAAATCAGTATTCTTGCAGCATCGGATACATAAGGAGGTGAGGCTAAAACATGGGCTAGTATGGATTTCTGGAGGGCCCGAATGACATAGTAAGGACTTTAAACTTACCCTTAGACGGTAGGGAGGCTTAGAAAGTTTTTAGAGGAGAGTGACAGCATGGTTAGATCTGTATTTTAGTGGTCATTTAGATAGTGGGTTAGAATAGGCAAATACCAAAAGGAGTGAGAGCAGTTTGGAAGTTCTTACCCACTCCCAGTGATGATTTTCCAAAAATTTAAGAAATTTATGTTTTTGACTATAAAATATTCTAATTGAATATATAATTTTATTGTTCCCACAGTGTAACAGATTTTTGTCATTACTTTTTTCTCTGTGTTCAAGTAAACCAGAATGTAAGGTCATAAAGAATTATCTTTTATTAAAAAGATTTATCTAGATACAAGTCAAAATTTGCCCAGTGATTCTCTGGCTTCTTCAGTAGCCACTGTGTTTTGGTCCTGTAGGTTGGCCTGGCAGTAGTGAACGGACAGCTCATGGCTGTAGGAGGCTTCGATGGCACAACGTACTTGAAGACCATTGAAGTTTTTGATCCTGATGCCAATACATGGAGGTAACCTTTAAGCTACATTGCAGATCACCTCACTGCTGACTTGAAAATCATGGGCATAAGGTCGCCTGTGACCATCAAAATGGGGATGGTCAGTACATTGAGAAGTGCTCTTGCAGTACTCGTAAGAGAGCTCCAAGTTACCCATATTTGATGGCTTCTTGTGACTTCCCTGCTCTAAAGTGGCTGACATCTGACAACATCTTCTCTTTGGTAACTGTTCAGTTTTATAATAGAGATGGCAAACACGGAAAAAAAAAAAAATCTCCTCTCTAGCCCCATCATGTTCAGCTGAGGTAAGTGAGGCACTGAGAAATAAAATGGAGCAAGTTAGTGATAGAATTAGAACTCAGATCTCTTGCTTCTAATCTGTCACAGTTTTTTGGTGTTCCTATGCACAGCTTTATGCCCAGGAAAAAACAAACTTCAGTTACTTTTTTAAAAAATAATAGTTTATTTCATTTAAAAATTTTTTTCCTTAAGCTTTTAAAATCTATTTAAACATATTATTATTCTATTTTAAAGTCTAAGGGCGCCTGGGTGGCTCAGTTGGTTAAGCGTCCTACTCTTGGTCTCAGCTCAGGTCTTGATCTTAGGGTGGTGAGTTCAAGCCCCGCATTGGGCTCCATGCTGGGCATGGAGCCTACTTAAAAAACAAACAAACAGGGGCGCCTGGGTGGCTCAGTTGGTTGGGCGACTGCCTTCGGCTCAGGTCATGGTCCTGGAGTCCCGGGATCGAGTCCCGCATCGGGCTCTCTGCTCGGCGGGGAGTCTGCTTCTCCCTCTGACCCTCCCCCTCTCATGCTCTCTCTCTCTCTCTCATTCTCTCTCTCAAATAAATAAGAAAAACAAACAAACAAACAAACAAAACTATTAAATTTTAACAATCACTTTTAGGAAGGAATCTACCACTTATTTAAGAGGTTTAACTATGTTAAATTATATTTATAGGTTAATTTTACTTTGTTTTTAAATCTTTGTCTTAATCTTAACAAATATTTTCTAAGGACTTAAGTAGTTCTTATAAATTCACATAAATCATGTGACTCGTGCATTTATTTTAAATATTAAAAAAGTAGGACGCCTGGGTGGGCTCTGTTAGTTAAACGTCTGCCTTCGGCTCAGGTCATGATCTCAGCGTCCTGGGATCTAGCCCCGCATCGGGCTCCCTGCTCCGCGGGAAGCATGCTTCTCCCTCTCCCACGCCCCCTGCTTGTGTTCCCTCTCTCGCTGTGTCTCTCTCTGTCAAATAAATAAATAAAATCTTTAAAAATAAATAAATAGAGGCACCTGGGTGGCTTGGCTCAGGTCATGATCTCGGGGTCCTGGGATTGAGCGCCTCATCGGGCTCTGCACTCAGCTGGGAGTCTGCTTCTCCCTTGGCCCTTCCTCCCCCGACCATGCTTGCTCTCTTAAATAATTAATAAAATCTTTAAAAAAAATTGTCTTCATGTCTGGGAAAGCCACACTTTTACAGATGTTTAAATGACATTCTTTGGATTCTGCCTTTCTCTCATGGCTCTTTATGACTTGGTCACAATACTAGGGTCAGACTAAAAGTCAAACATTGTACATTTTTGGCTTCCACTACATCACATTTTCACAGCCTTGTTCATTAAGTAAAGATGTACTGAGTATTCTAGACATCAGGGATACAACAGGGAAAACAAAATTCCCTGCTCTCCTGGAGCTGACATTCTAGTAAGAAGACTAACAGTACCATGTCAGGGGGTAGAAGCACTATGGTGAAGAGCCAAGGGGGGTGGGGGTGTCCAGGGAGGAGCTTCTTTTGAAAATGTGGCCTAGGAAGGCCTCACTGCAAAGGTAACATTTTAGCAAAACCTAATAGAGGTAAGGGAGAGATAGATAATGGGAGGTTTTCCTGAAGAGGAGCCTCCCACTTGTGACATATTTTCTTGCATATTCAGCTTTCTATGTTTAGTGGGAATTTGGGGAAATCTCCAGATTTACTTCTGCTACTTAATCACTATAATCCTACATAAGGACCTATTTCTCAGTAACTGTCACTAAATAGAATTAGTAATATGTGACCGAGTAATATTTATGAAATTCTTAAGGATCATCTATTGAGAGGTTATGATCTAAATTTTTGTAGTTACATATCCCAAACTTAAAACCAGTTTTACCTCACAGCTGACAGAGGATCTGATATTCTTTTTTTTTTTTTTTTAAGATTTTACTTATTTATTTGAGAGAGAGAAAGAGCACAAGAGGGGGGAGCGGGAGAGGGAGAAGCAGACTCCCCGCTGAGCAGGGAGCCCGACGCGGGACTCGATCCCGGGACTCCAGGATCATGACCTGAGCCGAAGGCAGTCGCTTAACCAACTGAGCCACCCAGGCGCCCCGAGGATCTAATATTCTTTTCCATGTAAATCTTTAACTTTGAAGATGATCTTGTTCACAGGTCAAAAACTAGATGCTTACTTTACTTCCTCATATCCAGGTTTGTTCCATAAAGGAGGAGGCTTGTAAGAATACATATAAGACAAAAAGATAAAAATAAGTTATCGGGGCGCCTGGGTGGCTCAGTTGGTTAAGCGACTGCCTTCGGCTCAGGTCATGATCCTGGAGTCCCGCATCGGGCTCCCTGCTCGGCAGGGAGTCTGCTTCTCCCTCTGACCCTCCTCCCTCTCATGCTCTCTGTCTCTCATTCTCTCTCTCGCAAATAAATAAAAAAAAAAAATTTTTTTAAAAATAAGTTATCGATGTTTAGGCAGAGGGAAATGTGAGTAGGAAAATAAGATAGCCATAGTCAAAACTAGACAAAAATGTAGAATATGATTCTGTGTAATTGTTAGAAGTCAGTTTAGGTGTAAAGTTATAAAGTCGTGATACAAAATGTGGATACAACACTCTCTTATTCTTAAAACAGTATCCTGGAAATGAGACCTTTTCACCCAATGTCTGAAATAATTCTGCTACTTACCAGTGCTCAATTCCAAGTCCTAATCTTTGGAAGAGAAGTAGGAATCTAAAAATATTAGTTATGATAGAAAACATGTGTTTTATTAACATCTAAGTTGTAGAACAAACAGTGATTTTTCCACTTTGAAATCTGATTTTGTTTCTTTCTTTGCAGGTTATATGGCGGGATGAATTACCGTCGGCTAGGGGGTGGTGTAGGAGTTATTAAAATGACACATTGTGAATCCCATATATGGTGAACATCTAGAGACAGTCGTGTACATGCTCCTCTGTATTCTGGAGAGCTTTGACTTTGGAGCTTTGTATAGCTCAAGAAAACATTAGAACAAATTTTATTCTTTGCCGGTGCCTCAACATATGGAAATACAAATACAATGAAAGTACTTCAACTGCAAGATGCCACCTTTGCACAAAAATTTTCAATTCTGTGCAGAATATTTATTTTTGGTTTTAATTTATCATGGGTTTTTTGTTGTTCGGTTTTTTGTCGTCGTTTCATTTTGCTTTGGATTTAGCCTTCCTCCCACTAAAAAAGGAAAAAAAATAAAGGTAAAAATTCTAAGCAGTGAAAGTTTATTTTTAAGATATTAAGTTTGAAAATACTAATAAAGGGAGAAGGGCTATATACATGATCTAGTTATTTCTAGGCACTGCATCCACATGACTCCACTACTTACAAGGACTACCAGTGACAAAGATAGGTATGCAAAGTGTATTATTTAGCCATCATGCTTGCACTAAGCACCAGAAGACTTGAAAATCTAAAAAACAAAAAAAGGAAACACTCATTTTAAATAGTACAATTCAAAAGGAATATTAAGTAGATAAAACCAGGACTCAGACACTAAAGTTTTCATCAGTGCAAGTTTGCAAATTGTTTCCTTCCATATGAACTTGTTTTCCACCATAGTCTTTTTTCATAATATTTTCATAGAATTTCTGCTAGCTCTAGAGCTCTGCTCAGTGCCTCTATAAAAACAGTATACAGTTCTTATATGCTGTCTTGAGAATCCTCCAATAGAATCATGTGCTACTCTGCAGAAGTTTTTGCTCAAAAATATTACTGACTGAAACAATTTTCCTTCTTGTTTCCTTATTGCTACTAAGGACCAGCAGGGAGAAATGCCCTCTCCCCAGCAGTGAATACTGTTATGCAATTTTCACTTGACGCTCAGGCCTGCTGAAGCTCAGGCTTACCTGTAATCACAGCCTCCAAGGGAATGAATTCTTCAGTTCATGTAATAGTACACACTAATGAGTGTAAAATTGAGGCATTTTATTAATAAAAGCTTGGTTCTTTTATACAAACTATATATCATCCTCATTCTCTGTTACTACTCTGAAATTGCACTTTCTGGTGAAAAGTTAAAATTTTTAAAGAAAAAATGATACAAATTTCAGTGGTCAGAGTTTTGTCATTGTGTTCATAGACCAATTTTTTTCAATGTATTTTGCAGGAAAATCTTTGAATAAGACTTTAACCGCAACCAAAAGGAATAACCTTCTCCTTCTCCCTCCCCCAATACAAAAATGTTTGGCAACTTTTGTGTTTACATTTAAAGATCATTTGCACCTTTACAAGGAAAAAAAATAAGTATTTGGTAAACAGTTGTTTACATGTATCATTTATGCTTTTTTCTAGCATGTATAACTTTTTTAAATAAAGGTAGTACTTACCGTAAAAAAAAAATTTTGGCTAAATGTTTTTTAGTGCTTGTGTCTTTGCTATTTAGTTTCTATATCATTTATATTTCCTTTATGTAAAGTTGTAAGTACTTTCGACCTGAAGGAATAAAGGGATTGCCAGCTAGAATTATGAACTTTTATTATATATCTTATATAATAGGATTATATTACCTAACCTCTAAACTTATTTTCTGGTGTAGCACTTAGAACCATACAATTCTGAGCTAGAAGGACTCTTAACAATCCCCGGGTCCAAACCCATCTATTTCTATGCTCTAAGACTGAAAACCAAATATGTCCTTCCTAAGAGTAAATATAGTCAATGATAGGACCAACATTAAAAATCAGTTCCCTGAACTCCCACTCCATTTCTCTTTCTGTGCCACACTGCCACTCCACCCACACTTGAAACATGGCCTAGAATTCAATATACTAACAGACTCTAAGTAAATCTGGTATGTAACATTAAAAAAATATAAACACTTTATGAGATCCTTAGAGTACTGCATCATTAAGTCAGTCTTCAAGACAAAACTCACTTATTTCCCAAGATTCTACTATTGCATGTATTTTAAGAAAAGGAGAAAAATAAACAGGGTTGCTGGAGTGGTGGGGGGTGGGAGGGATGGGGTGGCTGGGTGATAGACATTGGGGAGGGTATGTGCTATGGTGAGTGCTGTGAATTGTACAAGACTATTGAATCACAGATCTGTACCTCTGAAACAAGTAATATATGTTTAAAAAAAAAAAAAAGATAGCAGGAGGGGAAGAATGAAGGGAGGGAAATCAGAGGGGAGACGAACCATGAGAGATGATGGACTCTGAAAAACAAACTGAGGGTTCTAGAGGGGAGGGGGGGTGGGAGGATGGGTTAGCCTGGTGATGGGTATTAAAGAGGGCACGTTCTGCATGGAGCACTGGGTGTTATACACAAACAGTGAATCATGGAACACTACATCAAAAACTAATGATGTAATGTATGGTGATTAACATGACAATAAAATTTAAAAAAAGAGAGAGAAATAAGAACAGGAAAAAAAATTCTAGGAATTAGACTCTCAGTAAGTAGGAAAGTTCCCAATAGGAGCAATTGACATGGCAGTGATTCAAGAGCAGAGACCCAGGAACTACAATACTGACCAAAGTGTTCATTGGAGCATAAAGGGTTATTTTTTCCCTCCACTGAAAGTGGTCCAGTTTTATTATTGATAAAATATACCTATTATATAAATGTCATTGCTGTAAAAGAATATTTGCATACTGATTCCCACAATTATGAAGTGAGCTCAGAGTTGGGTTGGGTTGGCTGTCCTCTTCATTTTATAAATAAGTAAACTGAAGCTTAGAAAGTTAGAAGGACATGGTAGAAACTGAACCTCATATCCACATAACGATTCCAAATCCATTCATTGTTCTCTATACTACTCTTCAACCTAGGGGACAGCTGTTTACCCTATATCCTCCCCTCCTATGGATCCAAGAAGAGTTCTTGATTTTTCCATCTCCTCAACTTTTTACTTGTTAGGACGCAGTGGCCATCCTCGTATGAGGAACTGGAAACTGGAAGTGAAATGTGTAGTTTTAAGTAAAAAAAATATAAATCATGAATTATCTCAATAGGTACAGAAAAATAATTTGACAAGATGCAACATCCATGCATAATAAAAACCATCAACAAATTAGGAAGAGAATTGCTTTAACCTGACAAAGGGCATATAGGAGAAACCTACAGCTAACAGCATATTTAATAGTTAAATACACACTAAGATCAGGAACAATATAAAACTACATCCTCACCACTTCTATCTGCAATTGTGGTGGAAATTCTAGCCAAGGCAAGTTGGCAAGAAAAAGAAAGAAAAGGCATCCAGGTTGAAATTAAGTAAAACTCTTTATTCACAAGTGACATTAGTCTTGCATACAGAAAATCCTAAGGAATTCACTGAAAAAAATTACTAGAATAAACAAGTTCAGGAAGATCACAGGATATAAGAGCAATATATATACTCACAACAAACAATCCAAAAATGAAATTAAGAAAGCAATTCCAAATGTATAAAAGTGCAAGCATCTTTTTAAGAGGTCTATCCTTCAAAAACAGAAAACACATAAAATTACTCTACTGTCATTATCTAGTATGGATGGATGTGTAGCTCTACTTTGAAACTCCCTAGCTACTTACCTTTCAAAATAAAGTAATTTTCACTTATTTTGCAAAAAGTTTTTTTCCATTCTCAATAGCATGAAATACTTAGGAATAAATTTAGCAAAAGAAGTGCAATACTTGTATGCTGAAAACTATAAAACAATGTTGAAGGAAATTTTGAAATAAATAGAAAGATACCCCATGCTCGTAGATTAGATATTAGACTTAATATCATTATGATGGCAGTACTCCCCAAATTGATCTATAGATTGAACACAACCACTATCAAAATCCCAGCTAACTTTTTTTCAAAATTGACCAGCTGATCCTAAAATTCTTTGGAAATGCAAAAGACCCAGAATAACCAAAACAATCTTAGAAAAAAGAAGGAGAAGCTGGAAGACTCACACTTCCTGATTTCAAAGTGCACTACAAAGCTACAGTAACCAAGACAGTGTGGTACTGACATCAATGAAATAGAACAGGGTCCAGAAATAAACATCTACGGCCAAATGATTTTTAAGAAAGGTGACAGAGGCAACATGGGAAAATAGTCTTTTTAATAAATGGTACTAGAACAAATGAATGACATGAATGAATGAATATGCAAAATGATGAGTTTGGATGCTTACCTCACTCCATACATAAAATCTCAAGATGGATTACAGACCTCAATTTAAAGCTAAAATTATAAGATCCTTAGAAAAACATAGGAGTAACCCTTTGGGACATCAGATTAAGCAGTAAGATTTCTTAGACACAACACCAAAGGCGTAAGAAATAAAATAACTGATAAGCTAGACTTCATCAAAATTAAAAACTTTTACATTTTGAAAATAAATGAGTTCACCCTGGTATTTCCAATTCAAATTTAACATTACAGAGTTTCTACTTAGCTTACTTTATTTTATAATTGCATATCTTGATTCATAACATTGTTACATGTTTTATACTCAGTTGTTATATGTTGTACTCAGTTATCTTGAGTACAACTTAAATTCCTTTGCTGCTCTTTTCCTAAGATATAGCTGACAACATACAGTCAAAATACTAGGATTTAAAGATACTAAAAATAACTCTTTGTGTGATTATGGCATGAACTTAATATAGTTAGGTTTATTTTCAATTTTTAAGGATTGCTTTTTCTTTTTGATCCAATTTTGTTTTGTAATTATATAAAACACTTACATGGTTCCAAACTATAAACAAGGAACATTCAAATAAGTTTTAACTTTCATTCCTCTCCCCTTTACCCAGTTCCTTCCTTCCCCCTAATTAGTAACCACTTTCATTAGTTTTTGGTTTATCCTTCCATTGTTTTTTGGAAACAAAGGAAATACACACACAAACTCGTATTTCACCCATTCCTTCCGTAAAAGATAGCATACTATATATACACTGTCTACATGATGCTCTTTCAACAACGCATCTTAGAGATCAAGATCACTCCATGGCAGTTAGATATCTTCCTCAAACCTTTTTATAGTCACATAGTAGTAATTCACTGTGCAGCTACACCATAAACAATCCCCCTTTGATATGCATTTGGACTTTTTTCAGTCTTGCTATTACAAATACTATTGCTATACTAATACTAATACTATAGATAGCCTTGTACATGCTTCATTTATATTTTGCCAGTGAGTTTTGGGGATAGAATGCTAGAAGTGGGATTGCTGGTCAAAGGATAAATCCC